AGTCCTTTGCTGTTAAGTCTGCCAAGAAATGAAACCCGTGCAAGAAGAACACTGCACCTCCGAATTTTCGGGGCGTGTCAAGTTACACCCTTTGACGTCAAAGGACAGAAAGTTTCCGAGAGTTTCGCGGATTTTCGGGTTTCTAGGGTGGAACTTTAGTTTGTTTTCTCCATTTCGTCGAACTTTCTGGTCTACTTAAGGTTCGAGACAGCAGTGTTCTTATTAGACGTGCATTTCGTTATATATAGTTGTTTTAGCGCGACATTACACCTAAAAAGCATTCAAAACCCCTGTAAAAATTTTCAAATTTTTAGTGATATAATAAAAATTAATGTGTAGGTTGAATGAATAGTTGTCGAATAAAATATTATATCAAATTCATCAAAGCAAAGTTGTATGCGTTCCGTCGTGATGGTGCTGGAAGGAGTGAATAGGCAGATTTCTTATTCTTAAAAGTGACCTTTTCATTCATTTTTTTAATTTTTTTTATTTCATGGTGAGGACCATATGGCCGTACGTTAGACTCATTATTATATTCATTGTTTTATGATCGTTTTTCATTTTGCGGACTAAAATCATCAAGAATCGCACGATTGCTGGCGCCCATACTTTTCATCAGCGTTTGGAGCGTTCTGGTCGACAACGAATGTAAAGGTATCAATCCGGAATTTAGTGTTGAGTGAAACGTTGGATCGATACCTGTGAATTCCGTTCCGCTCAAAACGCCGGCGAAAAGTATGAACGCAGCTTGAAGGTAGGGTCCAGGTTCGAGTGCTGGATGTTGTCGAGTCTCTTGTCTTCAACGCAGCATTTTTGGAATAACTATCACGTTATCATTTCACGGAATAGCATTTTTTGTTTTCTGGACCTGATAATCTGAGGGAAAGGCATCGAAATGACTCTTTGTCCAAAACTTAGAATTAATAGCTTAAGACTCTTGCCAGGGCACATCGTTGTTGGGGAATCCCCAACAGGGGGGTCGTATTTGGGCTGAGAAAAATTTATTTTGATAGTTGATTTTTCTCGCTTCACGGACGTTGTAAAAAGAAAAAGGGGGGGGGGCTCGTACTTGTCCGTTGTTTGGCAAGGGGGCGTATTGTCTCCGCTTCCGCGTTTCACACTGTGCTACTACCCCTCGCAACCCCCCCCCCACCCTCCGCTCGACGGCTCTGATTCATGAGGACAAGGGTGAAGGAAGAACCAAGAGCCGGAGGGGGGTTCGTCCAAGCCCCCCCCCCCATCCCAAAAAAAAGTTGGGAATTGCGTACGGGACTCGACTAAAACCCCAACCAGTGATGTGCCCTGCTTGCCGAAACTTTAAGGTGGGGTTGTTGCACTGGTTTGAAGCACTGTAGTTTTATTCTGACGACTGTAATTCCAGTTTTGAACAAAGAACACTTTGCATGCCCCTCGCCCGAGGTTATTAGCGCCTATCTATCGTCCATTACGTTATTCCTGTTAAGTGATCACAAAACGTACGTTTCATCATAGGTATCGGAGATGAAACTTCTGTTTACATATATCCTATATCTAAGGTAAACGCGCTGTTTTCAATTTTTTTTTTCTCGCTGTTTCTCACTTTCTTTGTCCTGTTGACGCGCCCGTGGGACGTATGGATCATAAATAGACTATGCAAGATGTCACAGCAGTCAGTCAGATGTATTTTTTTGAAAGTACAGTTTAGTGATGTAAGAAAGACAACTTGATAACAATACCCAAACCTGTTTGTTTATTGACTCGCAAGGCTTGTTGTTTGCGCAGTGTCTCTGGTGTGCCTAGCGCGACACCAAGTGCAGAGTACTAATCGTAAGTGCCCCCTTTGAATTCTTTATGACTCTCTTCTTCGTTTCTCGCATTGTCTCCAGTTTATTGCCACACATTTTACCCGGGTCGCCGTCGTTTCTGTTCCTTACGAATCTCTTTTGACTTTTTTGTTTACGTTCTTTTGATTTCTGTGTGGCTCTATTTGTTCCTCGTGTTATTCTCGGTAATTTGATTACGTTTCGTCTTGAAATGTGGTTGTTTTAGAATTCGTCTGCAGCAAATGGCGTCGGAAAAGACTGATGTGACGCTCGCAGCAGACTCAATAGGCGGTGATGTAACCAATCTGAATGAACTAACTTCTTTGGTAAGTTCATGTTACTTATATAAAGCAAATTTCGTATCATGTGTAGAGCAAGTTTGAAATTTACGAGCAAATTAGTAGAAAACCTGATAGAGTCCATTAATGGCAATGTACTTTTCTATGGGAGCCGTCCCCCATTATGTTCGATATGTAGATTGCTTCCGGTTCTTGTATTTGCAGGTGGCCGGCATAGCATCGATTTCTGGGTAAAAGACGAAATATGGGTGCGTTTTGGTTGTAGCAATTAAATATTGCTGAATTGAATTAATATTAGCCCGTGAAAACAATTCCTGCGATAGTGAATCATGAATAGTGAGTAATCATGAATCATTGAGGAGGGAGGGGGGAAGGTGGGGAACAGAAGGACCGCTACCATGCAAAAACCGACATGCTATCGTTCTATCATACGCACATGAGATTGTTCTATGAATATCCAGGCAACACGCGCGGTAAGTAGCGGTGTAAGTTGTTGTCTTGTAGCCTGAAAACATTAATGTGGTAAAAAGTCACGCGTCTCTGTCTGGTTTATCTCGCGCGTTCGTGTGACAAAAGCGGAATATCCTCTGCGAGTGCGAACCTGACAAGCGAATGCACGGATGTGTTTCACAGATCATATGATCGCAGGAATTTTCTTTAACAATACCAGGCAATTTCCATCCAGTGGTAGAGTGGCCTGCAACTTGGACAATTGAGAGAGATCTTCCGGTTCTTAACTGTCGAGTTTGTCGGAACGCTCTTTTGAGTTTTCTTTTATGTACACAACTTCATTTGTAGATCGTTTACAGTCGATGCATGTTTTGCCGTTTATATGGCCCGCTCCTTTCGAAAACTCCTCCCTTGATACGGCTCCCTCCCTCCCCCATCCTCCACGCCACCTACAATCTTATCGACTTCTCCCAACATCCTACTCTTCTTCTTCGGAGTTTCTCCGGAATTCTTCGCTTCCCCGTTTGATACAAAGTTATCGTTCCGGGAGGGTAGAAGGGTTGGTTGCCTTAGGCGGAAGCTGGCCCGAGATTTGAACCACAGGGCGTGCGCGTGGTAAGCGCTCCACTTGCCATTATACAGCCTCAGATAGAGTTATGAACATGAAAATGAACCCGTGGGAGCTCCAGATCGGTAGCCGTTGGCTATATCGCATCTACCCCGCTGACTGTTGTGGAGTGAAAACATGAGAGCGCAAACATACTTCGCGATCCGATCGATTGGTTCGCGCGATCGGATCGCGTAGTTTGAACGCGCTGTGACTTAGTCATGCATAGAAAGTTCCATTGAATTTCCTTTTGGTTTCAGATCCAGGGAGTATTGCAGCAGACTCAGGACAGATTTCAACACATGTCTGATCAAATAATCCGCCGTATCGATGATATGACAAAGCGCATTGACGATCTTGAGAAGAACATTTCTGATGTGATGTCTCAGAATCAGATAGAGCAGCAACAACCTTAATATCCCTATTTATCAATTTATCAATAACGTACATAATGTATGGATCGATCTACTGCTCCATAGCCCGATTGTTGGTTGTGGTTGGCACTTATCCGCGCTTTTATCAATAAGAAGCTTGTCACTTTTTGCATTTTTGGAGCCAACATTTGCCTTTATCTATTCAAAATAAATGTATTTTGCAAGAAAAATTGTTAATAGCGACATGTATACGACATATATACCTTCAAGTTGTGCTCAAAATGATCAGGAAATTTGAATTTCGGCTCTGTGGCTTCACTTTTGTTGTGGTTCAGTATGGGAGCAGAATCGTCAGTGTTAGCGAAGAAACCGGAAATTGTTAGCCTCACTAGTGAACAGATTCGACGAACTACTGAATTATTGAAGAAACGTACCAACGGCAAGGAAAACCTTAATAAACAACAGTTTGAGGTAAGTAATTCTGTTTTGATATGGATCCTTCATTTACTGCATATTGAATTTTGACCAAAGGTCACTCGCTGACATCAGAGCGCACCGTGCTTGAAGCAGGTGATCTTTCCACTCCGGTTCAGGCGCATGCGGCTGCCGGTCAGAATTCCAAATCGTGATTTCGCTCACAAAGCACATAGTGTTCTTAGCTGCTTGATTTGAGACAGCGCTGTGGAGTCATTCAAAGGCATGGGCATTGGTAGTTCTCGCCAAAGTCGCTGGTGGATGAGCTGAGGTGTGACCACAAATCCTCTCGCAGTCCTTGCCCATTGACGCTGGCAAAAACCCTCCATCTCCAACAGTCGTGCCCATTGATCGCGTTGAATAAGATGTGATCTACCAGCTATCCTCGTACTGGGAAGGAGCGGATCAATACTTAAATTTTGAGATAGTACTGTGAGACAAATGGTCCGGGTGCCGTGAAATAAATGATATGAGACGTAGACTGCCATGATCTAACTGTCTTGAGTCCAAATTGCGGGTTGTGCCAAATGCTCGATTCCACCAGTTAGGAGTGCTGGTTTGCGCGACACTGCGAATCGGATCTCCTGACCCACAGCCGACTCATGCTATCACAATGCTCCTAATTTTCTGGAGATTCTAGCTTCAGGCGGGCTCCCTTACACGGCACCCTTCTTCATTTGTTGGACAGACGCCTTCCATGGACGTGGTGAACCTGCCTGCAAGTATGGGAGACTTCTTCTGCCGCTCAAAATACGTGAGGAAAGCGCCGCTCGCTCCCTATGCAATCACGGCTTCGCCCAGTGGCCACAAAGACGCCCAACTTTCATTGCGACAAGGAGGAAGAGCTCACACCAACTAAACTCGCCCATCCACGCCCTTTCTTCGCCTATGCTCTTGCAGTGGTTTTAGGATGAGGTTCTATACGAGTATGTGAGAGGATTTCCTCTGCTTTTTTTCTTCATTATTTGTCACTTACCATCCTTGTCACTTACCATTCCGTAATTAGTATTCGAGCCGCATAAACCACGGTTTTTAAAGGCGGTTTTTTCCGAACCTTTGAGCGCGGCCTGCGAAGGTTTTAAAATAGAGCCGAGAAATAAACGGTATAGGACGCGGACTGTCACGATCCAATTGACTTGACGCTAAAGTGCTATGTCGAGTCAGCTAACTAGGAGGGCTGATTTACGCGTGATGCGGTAAATCGAATCTCTTTACCCACTCCTAGTCATGCCACCTCGCCGGTCCTGTTTTTCCACAAATTCATTCATCAAACGAGCACCCGACTTAATTTTGCGAAGGCCTTACGTTCAAGTATGCTAAACGTCACGTGGAGACCTCTTGCATCGCATCCGTCATATATAATACAGGCTGTCAATCTCATAATCTCATGGGAATCAAAAGAACAAGGAAGTGCAAAAAAAATTTTTGGAATGGATGGAAATCAGTAGAGCTGGTTAAGTTGGGCCTCGCAGAGTTCTTCGTCCCTACTTTTTAGACCCCACTCCTTTCGATGGTCAGTACGCGCACGTTGGGCCTTTACTTCAATTCTGCAAATGCCGTTGTGGCTCAGGAGGGCTATTAGGAGGCCCTGCTCGTCTCTAAATAGCATATTTTCAGGAAATTTTTTCTGAGCTTCAACCTATAACCTCCTTACTATTCTTTGTGGAGGATGACAAAGGTCGTTGCTCAATTTCAAATTTGATTCGGTTAGCCGATGGACTGCTTGGTGACACAGGTGCGCAAGCGGCAGCGTTATTGCGAACATTCGGTAATACAGCGAAGGTTGGTTCAAAAATCTAGATTTTCGTCCTCAATATAGGTTTTTTGTATTCCCATGAGAACTGAATTTCCATTGTTTAGGCGCTAGAAAGTGTTGTATCGGTTTACGCACGAAGGCACGGACTTAGCGACAGCGATTCGGCTGCGCTCCTAGAACACTTGACGTACGACGCTCCTACTGAAGCACGTCTTGATCGATGGCTATTACGACACCCTTTTGCTTCCCAGATGGTTCTACATGTGTTCGCGCCACTTATTTTTGAGGAAGGTGAGTGTGTAAGAAAGTCGGCAAAAGTCTGGCTCATTTAGCTAGGCGCGACAGCATTGTACTAGTGGTGTTCTAGTGTGGTAGATTTTTCAACCGCATGGGTGGATTTACCTTCAAAAACGCTCTATAATGTTTCCAGGACCATCGCTCCACCCATCCACACCATGTGAATCACTACTACTTACTCACAGTGCTGTTTTGGTTATTAACATGCAGTTACCGAACGAAAGAAGGCAAGAGTGGACACTGTTGTTTTCAAGGTAAGGGGATTGAGATTGAAAGGATTTCATACAAATTTCAGTATGGTGTAAATTGCATGCTTTCTGCTCCAAACACCAAGGAGGGGTGTCAGCAGACAAATCGAACAAAATCCGGCTCGGGTAGAGAGGTCCGGAGACAGATTCCATTAGTATCATCCCTTTTCCGCAACTGTTTTCTCTGAGACAACGTTCAAACTTCGCGAATCGCACAATCCAGTTCGCGCGAACCGGATCGCGCGAACTGAATTGTGCGTTCGCGAAGTTTGAACGTTGTCTCAGAGAAAACAGTTGCGGAAAAGGGATGATACCAATGGAATCTGTCTCCTGGACCTCTCTACCCGAGCTGGAATGCCTGATATGCTTTGAAATACAGTGTTGAAGTCATTGGTTTGGTTTCATGTAGATGAACATCTTGAAGGTCGTTGAATTAGTTTGATCCTCCTTTACCGAACAGGGAACCTTTTCCAGTAGTGAAAATTATTAATTAACATTATTGGCACTATAGAATTTATGCTACTCCAGAATCTCAAATTTTTTTTTGCTGAAATTTTACCTGTGGTAATTCGGTGTCCAGATCACGACTTGAAATTCATTTTTGGCGCTCGCGCTAATTAGCGCCAGCATGCATCACCGCCTTTATCACCAAAAGCGGTGAAAACTTGCATAAAACGGTTGTTTGATGCTCTGATAAGAACATAGCATGCAGTTTTTGACAGCACCGCCTTTGAGCGCTCCGGAGAGGCTGAGCCTGGGAATAAGAATGATTACCTCCCGCTGGGCTCGGCCTTAACAGAGTGTAGAAGACCAAGTGCCGTACATTGGTGCCTGCTCTATAAAAGAATGTCATAATCGTAGTCAGGATATCAAAAAAATCCCAGTAATTTGATTTTCATCGGTTTTGGCAATAGAGGTGGTAGCTCCAAACTGGCGCCAAATGGCGTCTACGTTGAGAGCAAGTGTCATATTCGTGTTCAGGGCACAGAATAACCCCTACAGGCAAAGTTTTAGCGAAACAAGTGGGATTTTAGGGTAGTAGTAGTTCAGTGGTTGCAACTTATTTATTTGTTTATAAACACGTGGGTGCATCATCAACAGCGAAATTCAGCTTTAACACTAACAGCAAGCAATAAAGGAACCTGGCTCCAACGGCCCAAGGAGAATGGAGAAGTTTTTGTGGAAATTATTTCTTTTTTAACATTTCGATGCTTATCCTTTCTCTTAGCGATCTGAAACGCAGCAGTTGGAAAATGAACTGTGCTTGGCCCGTGTCCGCGCTGTTCTGGTATAGAGCTGCATTTCAGATTGTTGTTGAGGGTGCTAAGCACCAGAATATATTAAAAAGATATAATTTTGCAGTGGGACTTTTGGATTTCTCTTTATATTTTCATATTTAGATTCTGCTGACATTCCGGAGCAGCACAATACCACATGAGTATTATTTAATATGTTGTTTGAATTTGTAGTGCACTTCACGGATCCAGCTTCTCACAAATTTCCAAGCGTATCAATGGAGAAGGACCATGTATAGTGGTTGTTAACTCGTCTAACGGCAACATTTTTGGTTGTTTTGCTTCCGAAGGTAATATTCGTATTTGTTGCGAAGATTTACGCAAAACTGAGCTGCCGCACAGGTTTCTTCATGGGACCAAATTATCATGGAAATGCGACGTCTTTCCTATTCCAAGTGAAGCCTCATTTACGAATATTCTCCGCTACGGGGTTAACCAATGATTATGCTTACCTCAATGTTCAGCAAGTTAGCTTACCAAATGGATTGGTAAGTGTATGTTCGCCTTATTTGCGTAAACCGATGCATGTGTTTGTTAGGGTATTGGTGGTCATGAGAATGTGTGGCCGTTCTTCATAGACGAAGATTATGGAAAAGGAATCTCAATGGCAAATATCAGCTCCTTTGAAAAATGCCATCTAGCTGACTGTGATCAGTTCGAAATAAGGTAGTATTTGGTCAGAGCGTGTTCATACTTCGCGATCCAATCATACCTTCCAGCCACCGGAGACCCTCATCGCAAACCGGTGGACCACCGCAACGCCACAATTCAAAATGGGCCGCGATTTAATCACTGTATCAATACAGCCGAATTTAAAAAAGCTATGATAAAATGGTCCGCGAAATAACGTCGTGCATCGTTGTCCGCTTTCGCAGTGAATATTTCACTTTTGTCAAACGAAGCGACGAAGCTAGAGGCGCGTGATTATTGCAACCACTGCTACCACGATTACTTTCACTCTGCAAGACAAGCGGCTTACAAGAGTAATTGCGTTAGCGTTGCCTGGAGCGTCGTAGGGTGATTCCTGTGCTCTTGCTGAGAATTGGTTGCACGTCGAATACTGCATGTGACTTGCCGACGTCCGACGAACTCACGCCGGATCGTTGTCCGCTTTCGCAGTGAATATTTCACTTTTGTCAAACGAAGCGACGAAGCTAGAGGCGCGTGATTATTGCAACCACTGCTACCACGATTACTTTCACTCTGCAAGATAGCGGCTTACAAGAGTAATTGCGTTAGCGTTGCCTGGAGCGTCGTAGGGTGATTCCTGAGCTCTTGCTGAGAATTGGTTGCACGTCGAATACTGCATGTGACTTGCCGACGTCCGACAAACTCGTCCGAGGCGCCGGCCTCACTGTTAAGAGAGGCTTTGTTCAGAATGTTCAAGTTTTTTTTCGCTTGTTTCTCTACAGGGGAGTTTGTTATGGGCTACTAACTCATAATTGAGCATCTGCTACCCGTAACACTAGATCGCGGGACCTCTCTTTGAATTCTGCCGTTGTGGCAGTTCACTGATCGGCGTTGGGGCGACTCCAGTCGTGGTCGCTTCATCAGATATCGGATCGCGAAGCATGAACGCGCCTCATTTCATTGGTGAATCGTCTACGACTGTGTGTACGATTTTTACTATTTTTGTGCATTTGCTGAGGGGTCTAGCTGGAGCGTTTATTTTTGTTCCTTGTGAATTCGCTCTTGACCTTTTTTTATTACAAACGAACAAATCATATTTCGCTCATTTCAGTTGGCTGTAAAGTTCATTTCACAACGTGAGAGTTTGGCGTGATAGAGTAGAAGCCTAGATTACCTGCTGAAGAGGAAGAGATGGTCAAACGTAGCGAAAAATCGATAATTGATAAGGCAGTGTGTTTTTATACGGTCTTATTCGCAGGAGAGGTGCCAGGAGGAGCGGATTTGGCGCACCAAGCGGTTTTTCTCCAATTTTGGTCATCTGCCGATTTCCAAAATTGTTGGAGTATGTGGTGGAGTCGCGCCGATCCTTACAACACGCCCAGCGTCCGCTGCGAATAAGACTAATTGGCTCGAAATATTGACATAATGCTGAAGGTATTGTACTTACAGGACCCTGAAGCTGTAGCTTTATTGGAACTGAGTGGCCGTACAATGCACTCTGAAGCTTACCGAGAACCGGCCCCTTTATTAGACGAACCATTCGAGATCTAGGGCCTAGATTGACGAGTTTGCTTTACTTAGTCTTCCTTCATATGCTGTGCTACTTTACAGTTAATCATTATTAATACGACTGTAACCGACTTAATTGCTTGAGAAATCATTCCAGGGCATAATCCAGAACGTCATAATCACGTGTGTTGTTGTTATTGATGAACTGTTACTATCGCTTTCATCACCATATCCGTACTCATACCGGTTGGCTAGAGGTGTCGTAATTGCGGACATGCCAGCGCGCGTGACTGCAGCTTGAGAGACCGAAGGTCGCGATCGCGCGACTGGGTAGCTCGATTGGGCCGCGCAACCAGGACCGGAGGCGCTCCGCCGCCAAGTAGTGCACCGCCGCAACGGCAGAATTCTAACTGGGCCGCGTTCACAGAGTGCCATTTTGAATTGCGGCGTTGCAGCGGTGCACCGTTTGGCGGTGTGGCCCTCTGGTCATGGTCGCGCTATCGCGTAGTCTGAACGTGGTCAAAAAATGATTTTTTGGACGGGCTCATTTTTTCACTGTAGGTATTAGGCTGTTTTCAATTGATGACGTCCCCAAGCTCGCGAAAAAGTCCGCAGTCACGACACCTGTAGTCCCGGATGCAGAGTATGGATAGTGCAGTCATTATCCCCGCAAACGTGAGGGCGTGTGATGGGCATGGATTGGAGTGCAGTCAAGACAGTCATCAGCTGAAGCCATTCTGAGTCCGCAACGCTTGCGAAACATTTTTTGCGCAGCTCGGCTTGGGGCAGGGGGAAGGCATTTTGCACTTTAGCTACTTCCCGTCGCCCGCACCCATTGCTTTAAGAGCTTACAGGAATTCTTCACAAGAGTTGACAAGTAGTTCATACGAACTTTGACTGGTACCACTTCATGGCTTCACAGGATTTTACAAACCTCTGCTTTATAACTAGTATGCGGAGCTATGGGAAAAATTGACCCCATTGAGCGGGACTTGCACCTCATGCTTTCCCGGTGAGTTAAGCTATCCTTCACGCCATCGCGGCAGCTCTTACAAGGGAGGTCTTCTAAGTCGTGGCGCGCTTTTTGGAAAGGGTTTGTTGCTTGTTGTAGGGAGCCATACAAGGATCTTAGAAACGGGTTTCATTTTCTGCTACGCGTTTCTGGGGAGGTCAAAAACTGAGTGAAAAGAATTTGACAAGAATGGGCGATTTTAACTATCTTAATGGGCTCCGCTTCTGATTGTAACTTCGGCGACATTTGTAGTCCCGGATGCAGAGTATGGATAGTGCAGTCATTATCCCCGCAAACGTGAGGGCGTGTGATGGGCATGGATTGGAGTGCAGTCAAGACAGTCATCAGCTGAAAGCCATTCTGAGTCCGCAACGCTTCCGAAACATTTTTTGCGCAGCTCGGGCTTGGGGCAGGGGAAGGCTTTTGGCCACTTTAGGGCTACTTCCCGGTCCGCCCGCACTCCAATTGGCTTTAAAGGTTACAGGAATTCTCAACAAGGGTTGACAAGATAGTTCATTCGAAGACTTTGGACTGGTACTCGACTTCATGGCTTCAAACAGGTTTACGAAACCTCTGGCTTTATAACTAGTAGTGCGGAGGCTTATTGGGAAAAATTGACACCGCATTAGAGCGGGGCATTGCACTAATGCTTTCCGCCGGTGAGTTAAGCTATCCCTCGGGCGGACGCCATCGCGGCAGCTTCTTACAAGCGAGGTCTTCCAAGTCGTCGGGCGCTTTTTCGAAACGGCGTTTGTTGCCTTGTGCTAGGGAGGCCCATCATCAACGAGGATCCTGTCAGAAACGGGTTTCATTTTGCTAGCCCGTTTCTGGGCGAGGGTCAAAAACTGAGTGAAAAGAATTTCACATGAATGGGCGATTTTAACTATCTTAATGGGCTCCGCTCTGATTGTAACTTCGAGCATGCATAGTTTATGAGGTGCTCGTTAATTAGGCTTCGAAAATAGTTTTAAATAAAGTCAAAATGTAAGTATCATGTAGTAACACACTTGGCATGCACCGACGCAACAGTGATGTTTTTGTCAGCGGTCCCCCTCATGCTCACATTCCCGTGATACTTACATTTTCACTTTAAAACTATTTTCGAAGCACCTCATAAACTATGCATGCTCGAAGTTACAATCAGAACGGAGCCCATTAAGATAGTTAAAATCGCCCATTCTTGTCAAATTTTTCACTCAGTTTTTGACCTCCCCAGAAACGCATAGCAAAAATGAAACCCATTTTTAAGATCCTTGTATGGACCCCTACAACAAGCAACAAACCATTTCCAAAAAGCGCGCCACATCCTGAGAGCCTCCCTTGTAAGCCTCTCAACAGCAGCTCAATGGCTTTTGTGCCATATTCTTAATCAGTTTAACATAACCACACCTGATAACGTACTCGCCCGGAAAACGTGATGTTCGAGTTCGAATCCCGCCTGGGGTCAATACTTTTGCTCATAACTTTTATGAAGTGGAAAAGTGTTACTATGGTTGCGCTCCAATCCACGTCTCCTCACATACCCTTTCTTATGAGGATCTGTTGTTTTCCGTTTTTGTTTCTAATAATAATGTTACAGCGATGTAAATGCATGAATGTTGAAAATGTTTATTTCCACACTACAAGAAAGCTATCTACTATACAACAACAACATTTCAAACTATTCTACTTTGTAGCCTCTGGTTCCTTATTCAGATTAATCTTCTGGTATCCACTAGTTATTGAGGTTTCGCGGAACGCCGGCAACGTCTCCCATGGTGTTTCCAAATCAAATTTACGGAATTCTTGAGCCAACTCGGTCGGTTCATAAACTATACGCTTCAGCTCGGGATCGAATCGTACCTGAACAAAAGTTTTTGAAACGCAACAGTCAAGTAGTACAATTAATAATCAGGAAAAGCTGAAAATATAAGCGGAAAGCGCCGCGCTCTGAGCTACGTCGTGAACGAATAGTGAAAGAGTAAATTGAAATCGAAATATCAAATATGAACTAGGTGAGCGTTTCGGTAGGATTGCTTTCTTTGGAGTCTGGAAGATGGAAATTGAATCACGAATAAAAATATCAATTAAGTGATCCTGAAAAAGGGTTATAAGAAATACTGTTAGAAGGTCTGAGATCCCGTTTTCTACACAAAAGACAATGACGCGAACATGGCAGTGGTTAAGATGTCCGAGTTGTAGCGGCACTCAAGGGAAGTTCAGCGCGGTATTTCCTAGTCAACCGACACAGCATACTGTAGCAATATCACGCCAAATCGATTGGGTTCTGATTCGAATGCCGCACACACGAGGCCCCTCACGAGGCTGCGCCGTCGCTCGGAACTCTATCCGAGGCCAATTCAACATATTCATTATATTATTCTTATATTTCAACATAACAATATTAAACACGCGATCGTATCGCAGCAAGCTTCAATGCATAACGCGCGCGGTTCTGACAGCGCGTCCATACATAGCGATCCAGTCAAATGGATCGCGTTATGGGGCCTCGAGCGATCGGATAGCGAAGTATGAACGCGTACTGAGATAGCAATGGCTACTCCCTCCACGACTGTGTGGCCAACGGGGTCGTTCAGGACACTGTAAAAATAATCCGATTAGCCACCACTCGCTTCTTGGAATACAACAAGGTTCATTTAGCAGTATTGGTTGGCTTTGTAGCTTAGAATGGTGGAGCTGTGTTCCGCCAAACATTTCAAAGTTGTATCAATTATTATTTTTTTCAGAGGTAATCAAAGGCTGACCTCATTATAGCCAGTGAGAGGGAAATCCTTGCGGAACGGATGACCTTCGAAACCATAATCAGTAAGAATACGACGGAGATCCGGATGGTTGTTGAACCACACGCCGAACATGTCGTATACTTCGCGCTCGTACCTGAACTCGATAAACTGTAGGAGATCACTAGGACATGCCAATAATGTACAATTATAGAATGCCATGGAAATTTCAGATTTTACTTATATACATTACATAACCTTACAAATTTTTATCCAACTGGTAACCGACGGAACTGACTCTTTTCAAGTACTGAAGGGAGGGAAAAATGGAAAAGGGAAGTAAAAAGGAAGATAAGAAAAGGAAGGAGGAAGATCAAAGCAAAGAGCTGGAAGCAATAGCGGTTGACAAATATCCTGAGACGCCACGAATTATGTGTAACGAGCTGCTGTGCGGGCACAGGATGAACATGTGAACCCTTTCACAATGTAAAAAGCAGAAACGTAGGAATTGATACTCAGATACGATGTGGTTCAGCTTAGAAAAGAAGAAAATAAACTCACCATTCCGCTCCCTTGAATACACTGGTGATCGATTCAATAGGTGCTACCTCATCGGTGTAGGTTCGCACACGGCAACGTGCCATAAAACGAACGGAAAACAGAGAGTAAACAACCTGAACCAACGAAACTTGTTATTTCTGAGACATGTTTGGCAGCAAGAGGTACCATATAAATAATGTCTATGAATCTGTATCGTTTGTAATTACCTCAAAACGATTTTGCCTGGTTGGAACATCAACGCCGCACACAAACGTGAGGTTTGTGAACTGTGCCTGAGTGGTTTCCTTTCAGGAAATGACATCACAGGTACAACGCCGGATGGATGAATAAGAAGCTCCAGTTCATCTCCAGCAGCGAACTGAAAGAGAAATGGATCTCATTAAGCTCGTTCATATGAGACGACGGCGGTCAAAAGGCAGCATAGGAGACCCTATTTTCATCATTCCTTCGCTTAACTCTGCCTAGAGCCTAGGAAGGAAAAAAGCGGACGCTGTTCGTCTTGGAGGGGCATTCAAAGCACTGCATGTGCAAAACCGAAGTTACGCAAAGGAGATGAGGATTGTGCTCGATCCCAAGAAGGGAAGGAATTCTGGAGGATGCGAAAAACTGTAAAAATGTTCGGGCAAACAGACAAAAAACGAGATCAGAGTGGGGCACAGTGACCCCAGCAGATGGAGTAAGGAGTCTTTAGGAAGCACATTCCAAGCTGCAAGGGCCGAAAAGTAACTCAATACAAAATGAGACCGAGTGGAATCGTGGCAAAAAGATGTTAATTGTACAATGCGAAGTTTTCGGTCTATTCATCAGTGCAAACATTATAAAGTGTTAGGTTTCAGAACGCATAGGTGCTCCCTGTTGGTTCTAAACAAAATTAAAAAGCGAGAAGACCCACTTGGACTTGCTGAACAAATTTCGGAAGACATTCTGCTACATATCGACCAAAATTCGCTAGTTTCGTCCGTTTTTCCTCGTCGAGCTTCAGAATGGTTGCTAAAATCTGATTCTACATGATCACAAAGTATGAACGCAGCCTAATAAATTTCCCTCACACTATTGGAAAAGCTCTCCGACAACTCATTTATATTTCCGCTTATATGATCATAAATATTTTCATATTTCTAACATTTCCGTAGTTCGGCGGCGGGGGAGGGAGGGGAGGGCATTTTGCTTTTTACTGCTCCACTACTTCTGGTTTACAAGTCTCACTCTGGTGAAACCTGAGCTCTTGTGAAGCCGGGGCCCCATGGTAAAACGTGTCAAATCTTGTAAGCTCATGAAATAGCTCTCTACAAGAATCGCCACGTCGATAGGAAGTAATAGCAAAAGTGCAAAATGCCCCCTCCCCCAGACGCCGAACTGCGCTTTTCCCTCCTCAATACACAACAACATACGGTCTTTCTTCTTCTTCTCCTCGCCTGCCTGCTTCACGGGCACAGATGTAGACAGTGCTACAGCTGTAGTTCGATGCAATCCCCGTGAAAGCTGGCGTACTACTGCAGGCAGCATCACCCTGTAAAAAGAGAAAAAACTTCAGAAAACGTGAACGAGCTGCTCAAGGAAGTAAATTCGTCATGGATCACATTTCCGCAAAATTCTAGGAAAAGACCTAATACATAACAACAAATCAAAACAGAATTACACTAGCTCTATTTAGAGCAAAAATAGAAGATAACTTCTGTGAAATAGAAAAAGTTGCTCGAACGAGGACAATCGCACCAGCACAATGAATTGTCTTGTTATAAACTATTTCATCAAACTGGAATAAAATTTCGTAGCTATTTTATGAATCCTACGATCTTTTGAATAATCACTAATTCAAAGGCGAACAAGCCAAAAGTCATTCACACGGAACAATGGAGTCGCAGCAGAAGTCTGTAATATGGCGTATGTACAACGTATGTTGACGGCATTGGCGGATATCGGAGAGCGCTGCGTTGAGGTGGACAAGTCGCTGTGTGGAACGAGACCTGTTTGCTCGCACAGAGAAGAATTCTTCGGATGGTGGTTTTGTCGCGAAGTTGTGCCGTGCGCATATTACGGCTCTCTCATTCAGTCTGGGTTCGGATCGATCACACGGACGCGTCCTCCCAATGTATCCCCGCCCCGCCCCCATAAAAAGGTTAGGCCCAGAGAGTGGACAACCATGTCGCTGATTGGATTGGCAGTGCAGCAGAGAGGATACCATCCTCCATTTAAACCTGACCCTTGATGAGAAAAAGGGCAAAATCTGGCGAGTGGCTTCCTCGTTACACCGCTTAGACTGTTAGCAAGGGAGGAGGATGCGGATCAAAACCGCCTTGCGATTGGCCGCTGAAGCGCACGGACACTATAAGGGTTTTGATCTCGAGGGCAGAAGGTCATCCTACAGCGTACTTGTGTCAGGTGGGAAGCGCGGGGAGGCGGGACCGAGGCATATAAAAGGTGGTCCGATTACTAGTAAGGAGGTCGTCAGAAGTTCTCTTCTTCGTCGTCATCATCTCTATCTTCTTGGGGCTCTCCCTCCCCACTTGCGTCTTGGTGGCCTACCCGGAGCGAGAGTCAAGAGGAGATTTTGTGCGCTCGATGTGCGAAATAGCGCTTGTTGCCATCAAAGCCTTAGTGGCCTCGGCGACTTAAATGATTAGCCTATTGGGTGGCTTAGGGGCTTTTGTGCGCGTGATGGGATTCGTGGCAATACTCGACGGGGAAGAAGGGTCGTGGGGAATAGAAAAATGGCAGAGCGAAAAATACACCCGAAATCACGCAATGAACCGTCAAGGGAGCTAGTATAAACACCCAGTCCATTTACTTTAGGAACACATCATCTCAGACTAACGACGTGCGAGCAAGCCTTTGCGCTTCGCGGCATCCAGCACAACCCCGCATCCGGCTTCGACGGAATCAAGAACTTTCATAAGACTTTCTATACTTTTCATTCCGTCCGTTTTGTATTTATTGGATTAATGGTAAAATTTTTTGGCTGTGTTGTAGCCAACAACATCGGCATTCGTCTAATTGGAAACATTTAGTTGGCCTCACAGTCGATGCACGCGATGTTAAGCCCTCCATGAAAAAAAAGTTCCGTGTAAGTGGTAAGTGAAAAGGGGGTGTCGAAAGACACAAACTTGAACGGGTCGTATATTGCAACGATCGAAATGATGTGCCGAGGAGCCATGCGATATCATCGCCGGCTAGTCAGGTAGGTCACGTCGCTGCGTGCCGCGCGGCAGATGGCGCGACGATTTCGGAGTTCCATTACCCATGACTTGTCGTGAAAGAGAGATTAGCGTTGTTTCATGGCGTCTTCGACCAAAATTCTGGAATGAATTGCTAGAGCGCTTCCACTTAATTCCTCTCTAGCAACAGCGTCTGTAATCTGTTATTCACTGCTACACTGTTGATATTGGCCACCATCATTTTGGAAACATTTTCTATTGTATTTTGCTGCTCTTCGCTCCTTTTTTTCTATTTTACATTAACATATTTACGCTTTTTACTTCACGCGACGCATTCCTATTGTGCGCTTGCGAACATTCCTATTGTGCTGCCTTCTCTCATTTCTGGCATATTTGCGAGGGTTGGCATGTGATTTTTCAACATGAACCCTGTCATCGCCACGATGGCGATGACCTCTCTCCCTCTACGCCCCGTCTCCTGTTCTTCGAGGCTTGGGCGTAGCCCCAAACCCCATACTTGTGCCTATAACGACGATAAACTGTGGCACAATTCGCCTCGTCTGTCCTACAACAAAATCGCCACTGAACCGCCATAACATTTTGGTGGCCATTGTAAGGACCCATAGATTATGTAGATTATATCCTGTGTTTGTTTGTGACCCAGCGCTGGGCTGCTGGAGACTGGAGGAGACCTAACCTGGGGCGAATGACCAGCGGATATTGAGGTGCCTGAGGATATTGCCAGGGGAAACGGCTGACCCCCGAGGTATCATAGGTCGCCCCGCCCCCTCTCGCGACCACACATAAATAGCGAGGTCAGAAAGTATTGTTATCTCTTTTCTACTCGACTCACTTGACTCACGTATTCTAGTCTCCAGTGGCTCAACACTGGGACCTTTTCTGTTGAATGACCTATTATTTACTCTGTTCAACTTCAATCCCGTCATAACTATTACATCTTCGGATTCGAGGAAAACCACTCCATAGGAGCTGTCCTCAAGGTGCTGCTCGAAAGAACAGCACCAAAGTTCTCATGCGCATTCTACGCAGCCGAGGACGGTTAAGATAAGCACTTTACGGCTAGGTGCAGCCGTTTCGCGGATCCTGTAGCACGGACGGCGCAAGACTCCAAGATGCTACTGTGCTTGAAGTGCCTCAAGCCGGCCCACGCAGACGAGTACAAAGTAAAGTGCGGGATTTGTGGTCTTGACCAAAACTCCTTCCTCGGTTCCCGCAGAAGGCTGCAGGCTCAACCGGTGAAAAGGCCTCGCCACTGAAGCGACCTTCACGAGCCCCTCCTCTCCCCTCCTCCTACTATTCGCTGTCGCTCGCTGCTCCACTATCCGCCGTCCGCTGATCGCTCGATGTCGCCCAATCATCATGGATGTTGGTCTTCAACACTCAAGGAACAAGAAGTCTCGTCCAAAGAAGACACAGCTACATGCGACGATCTCTTCGTAACATGTTGTACAGTATAATAGTATGGGTTTCCCTCAACGTTGTTTTCCGTCGAGGCGGCGGAATGTCCGCCATGATGGCGATGACCCTCTCCCTCTACGCCCGCCTCCTATTCTTCGAGGCGTGGGCGTAGCCCCAAACCCCTTACTTGTGTCTATAACCAAGATAAACGGTTGCACAATTCGCTTCGTCTGTTCTAGAACAAAATCGCCACTGAACCGCCATAACAATCCCCGCCATAGACTGATATAAATAATTCAGCGCATCGGCGTCATATTTTCGGTTATTTTCTCTGCCACCATCATTGTGCTCCAGCGCCGATGCTTACACTCGGAACGTTTCTATTGCGCTGTTTTTTCATTCCTGTCATATTTACGAGGGCTATCATGTGATTTTACCACATGAACCCTTTCGTAGACTGCTAGAATTCAGCACATGGGCCACGCGTAGGATTCCTAGCGGAAAACACTGCTTTGCTCAAAGGAAACACTGATTCGCCAACGGAATGATGGCTTCGTTAATTAGGGTGGGAAATTTAACTACGATTACAGGATGATTTGTTACCACTAACGATGAACGGCGAACGCTCACCTAATGATGCTGCTAATAATCCTATCCAGAATGTGTCAGGTATGGTTTAATTCCGGTACAATACATCGACTGAGTACGAAAGGGACTTTCTAGAGTTTATGGTTTAAAGCATTATATTATTATTATTATTAGCATTTATTATGTAGCTGCCATTCGCAGGTAAGCGAGGCCTGTCGGTGGAGCAATAAGGGAAACTACAACATTTGATGATTTCATCTTTTGTGCAGTCTGTACTTAATTTCAATATCTTTTTTGAGTTCGGCGTACCTCGCGCAACCGTCCCTCCACGTCGTAAGAGGAAGGAATGCTCCTTGGCGTCCCATCCACCAACGTTCCGGGAGCCATCTGTAGGTAACTCGAGATATTCTAAGATTGATTGGTACTGGTAAATGACGGAGGACAGATTCGCGCTACCCATGGAGTGGCCTGGCCTTCGCGATTGCAGCAAGGTGACTCCGCTTCCTTGACAGGAATGTTACTGCCGCCTTCCTTCCGGTATTCCATTGCTGTGTTTCCAGGCCAGTGGATATATGAGGATCTTTTGAGCAGTGAGAGATGTTATTAATGCAGCCGGAAGACCACATGAGATGCGCATCGTCCTGAATTTCAAGAAAACCGCTATTAACGCGGCTAGGAGGTGCTTTCCAAGCGCATCGCTTGAGGATTGTGCGCTTTTTAACATAAACGCGGCCTGGATAGAAAAAGCAGGTGACTTTGGGTTGCGCTTGCAGGTAAGTGGGGCCCAAAGGAGTAGGACCATAAAAACTGGTGGAACAGTATTATGGTAAGGGGCTCATTTTCTTGCCATCACACCTACACTTCGGGTCCTTGCGCGTTCCCAATCGTCACGAGTCCTTAGCGGATCTGGCGTGCATAAGAGCTGCGCAGAAATTATTGGTTCGTAACGACTGGTATGATGCCCCTTGAAGGACGATGGGTTCTAGTAAGCCTTGGGGGTTCCAGTACGACAAGGAGTTTCGCATCACCAACGCGGCGCAAACGTTCAGCAACTTTTTTTGCGGTTTTGAAATACTTCGTCTTCCGATCATAATATGCCTAGCCTTCAGAGAACTGGGCATAGTGCTTGGAGTGTTATAACCTCGCGTGGGGAACTTATTCTCCGATTGCACGGCTTCGTAGCTAAGGCAAGAGGATTACTCGTGAATGATGAAGAAGTTACTTTACACGGTTACTGTCACATTTATCGCCGCTTCAATATTATTTACTTACAAAGTAGGGCGGAGCCGAAGTGGCTCCACCAGAAGGATAATCGACGACGTCGTCGCGGCGAGAAGGAGATGT